AAATGGCAGCAGGAGGAGCGAGCGGAGGAAGTTAGAGAAGCGGCGCTAAATCGACGCTAATCGGCGCTAAATCGGCGCTGTTCATTGATTACCAGACGCTGATCGACGCTAGCGCATTCTGAAAACGGCATTACGAGGGTACACGCTCCCGTGACTTGCAACCGAAAGATCGGGTGGGATCGATCGAACCGAAATGTGCCCTGGGGGGGAGGAGGACTGGATGACGCCTCGTCGTCGTCTGGCTCTCGGATCACAGCTCGAGTCCCCAGTGGCCGTTCGGAAGATTCTGGCACCCCGGAGAGCCCTCGGCGAGGGTGCATCTGCTGGAACGCATCCCGCGGCTGGGAAACCGACGAGAATCGACGAAACGCCCGAAAACCGAAAGCTGGGCGGAGGAGGAAGGCCTTCATCCCGCAGCGCTTGCTCGACGCGCGCGCGCGCGCGGAGCTCGCCCTGCACGGCGACGCAGGCCATGCACCACGGCCCGCGATTGGGGCGCCGCCTACGGGTGGGCCTCGAGCCAGGGCGGAGACGAGCATGAGGTCGTCCTCATCGTCCTCCACTCTCATGTCCTCCCTCTTCCTCCCTCTCCATCGTCGCATTAATCATCATAGACATCATCATCGTCAGAATCATCATCATCGTCATCATCAGCAGCATCATCAACGTCATCAGCAGCAGCATCAACATCATCATCGTCAGCAGCATCATCGTCGTCATCATAATCATCATCATCATCAGCAGCAGCATCTTCATCATCATGATCATCATCACCATCAACATCACCATCATCATCGTCGTCGTCATCATCAGAATCAGCATCATCGTCATCATGATATTGATCATCATCGGCAGCATCCTCATCGTCATCATCAGCAGCAGCATCAGCATCAACAACAGCAGCAGCATCAGCATCAGCATCATCATCAGCATCAGCTTCAGTATCATCATCGTCATCATCAGCAGCATCAGCATCATCATCATCATCATCACCAGCATCATCATCACCAGCATCATCATCATCGTCGTCATCATCAGAATCACCATCATCATCATCATCAGTACCATCGTCATCATGATATCAATAATCATCATCAGCAACAGCATCATCAACAACAACATCACCATCATCGTCGTCATCAGCAGCATCAGCAGCAGCAGCAGCATCAGCATCAGCATCAGCATCATCATCATCGTCATCATCAGCAGCATCAGCATCAGCATCGTAATAATCATCAACATCAGCATCAGCATAATTTTCATCAGCAGCATCGTCATCGCCATCATCAACATCAGCATCATCTGCAGCCTCAGCATCAGCATCAGCATCAGCAGCATCATCAACATAATCCTCATCATCATCCTCATCATCATCATCATCAGCATCATCATCATCAGCATCATCATCAGCATCATCATCATGCTCCTCCCTGGGGTCCATCCTGGCCCGTGTTTCGACGCGGCTCCAGCCGTGGCGACGAGAAGCCTCCAGCAGGGCCCCGACAGGATGGGAAGCGGCAGGGAGGGCCGCCGTTATCTCGAGTGGCCCTCCTCCTCCTCCTCCTCCTCATCCTGCTCCTGCTCCTCCTCCTCCTCCTCCTCCTCCTGCTCCTGCTCCTCCTCCTGCTCCTCCTCCTCCTCCTGCTCCTGCTCCTCCTCCTCCTCCTCCTCCTCCTCCTCCTCCTCCTCCGCCGCCTCCTTCTCTTGCGCAGGCGGCGAGGGCGCCAGACAGGCGCCTGAAGCGTCAGCCCCCTCCTCCCTCTCACCCCCCTCCGCGGAGCGGCGCGCAAGCGCGAAAGCGCGCTGGGCCTCTGGCGGTGCAGCCTCGCGGAGAGCCGGTCGGCGCTGAGGGCCCCGGACGCCACCAGGCACTCCCGCAGCGCGACCAGCTCTTCCTGGCGGCGGACCGTCGGCCAGGAGAAGTGGAGGAGGAGGAGGAGGAGGATCGAAGAGGAGGGAGGAGGGGTGAAGGGAGGAAGGAGGAGGATGAAATAGAAAGGGGTGCATGATGATGTGATGATAATGAGGAGGAGGAGGAGGAGGAGGGAGGAGGAGGAGGAGGAGGAGGAGGAAGAGGAAGGAGGAGTAGGTAGGAGGGGGCACGAATAACGATACGAAGCTGAATAAACATATTGTGTGTATCTGTATACTAGAACTATCGGGCGCGCTTCGAGCGCACTCAGGTTCTAGTGCAGGCTGGGGGGTCGCTGGAAAAGCTTGGTTTCCATCCTCACCCTCATCCTCACCCTCACCGCGCGTGACATAGACATACCCATCCTCACCCTCATCCGAATTCCAGCACTAATCCTCATACTCCTCATCAAGCTACCCATCGGCATCATCAGAATCATCATGATCATACTCATCATCAACTTCTTCAACAACAGCAACATCATGAAGAGCATCGTTAGCAAAATGCTGCTAGCCATGCCTACACGTCAAGCTCGCGAACGATCTAATGATGATGATGATGATGATGATGATGATGATGATGACGATG